GGGCAGTCCAGGTGCTGGGCAGGCAGGGCATGAACCAGACAGCGGGCACAGGGATGAGAAGGAAGAATGGGGCGGATTCTGAAGCTATTTCAGAGAGACTAGACATGGCCTGGCCACTAATTGGGTTAGGCAAGAGATAGAGGGGGAGTGAGAAAGCGAAGTGTTCAGAATGACTCAGGGGTCAGGCTTGCACGTGATGAAGAAGGCACAGCCATCAACTGAGGCACAACAGGCCGGGGAGGAAGCTTGTGGAAGGCACTGGGCCGGTCCCAGGGCCACTGAGTCTCAAGTTAAGGTCTGAACTAGAAATGAGAGCCAGATCTTTGACTCCGTGTTCTACTGCCAAACCTTTGCAGACATTTTCTAACAGCATTTCAGACTCAAGACTGGGGCAGAGGGCACAAGACAGGAGTTCAGTAACCATGGTTTCTAAAGTATCACAGAAAAACCACCTCTAGGTCTTAGCCGATATATCTGGTATTTTTCAGGGTTCGGGGACATAACTAATGAGGCTCTGTGAGATGCTTTAGGGTTCACTCAGCTCTCACGGGTTCCTTGATCCCGAGAGCTAAATGCTCACCCCCATTTAGAGATGAGAAAATGAAGGTGCCCAGAGTTTAATATACTTTAGATTGTGCAGCTAAAATGGGAAACTGATTCAAAATAGTACCTGCACAGTCTGGGCCAGGAGCTGTGCTAGGCACCTGTCGAGTATGATGGCTTTTCACGGTGGACACGGGTAGAGGGAAAGGCTGGAGCTCGTCTTTCAGCATCCAGAGCAGAGTCTCAGAAAATACCTCCTTTTTTCACTATAGCATCCAGACGCCATTTGTTCAGTTCCACTTCATAGTCCCTATTTGCACTCCCCTCCCAATTCAGAAATCCCTTCATTCTCTCTTAGCTCCAAGAGCTCATTCTTCTACCTCTGAGCCTAAGGGAAGCTCGGAGGTATCAAAGGGTCCACAGTGACTCGTGAGGAGGAGGGAGGAGCCCGCACTGCCAAGGCAAGCACGCAGAGCTACCTTTCAAGTGCCTGATGAAGAGGCAGGGCCTAAGTGAGGGGTTAAACAGCCACAAGAAGGCAGAAGGAACAGTCTGGACAATCACCCGCAGAGCCTTCTAAAATATTTAAAGGACAGAAACATGCAAACATCGAACAATGAGCCAAGAACTGTCCCAAGACTTTAATTACCACCTCTGTGCTGACACTCCAAAATCCTTCTTTCCAGCTTCGGCTCCCCTGAGCTGCAGACCACAATCACACCCAGCAGCCTCCTGACCTTCCCTCCCATCTCATGCAGCTCTTTGTTCCTGCCTCCTAGTGCCTCCTGCCACCCAGTCATCCAGATCAAAGCCTTAGGGCCCTCCCGGGGACTTCCTTTCCTTCCTTCAATTAAATACAGGTTCCCTCAAATCCTTCTCCCAACAGCCTGTCACCCCAGCCTTTGCCAGGCCATTGTCCTCTTTAGGCGGGAGTATTTAACAGCTTTGAAACTAGCCACCTTGCCTCCGCCTCTCCAGCTTCAATGTCTTCTCTCAGGGCCCAGAGTTAGAGCGCTGCAGGACACAGACCCCTCACCACCTCCTCTCCCGCTGTACTCTTAGGAGGAAATCGGACCCCTCAAAATGATGGACAAGACCCTCTGGGCTCTGGCCCCTGCTTACATTCTGGTCTTGTTTTCTTGCCTCCTGGCCCCTCATCATTAAAACCAGGCTAATCTTAAAACAGCCCCCAAATATTGGACTTTCTTGATCTTTAAATGAGCTCTCAGATAATTCTGAAACAAACCAGGCACTAAGAAAAATGAACCATGGAATACTCTCTTACTTGCTTCCTGGTCTTTGTGAAGTTATTTCCTTAGCTGGAATATAATTTTCTTCTTCCCCCAGTTGACACCTCCTGGTGATTCTTCCTGCCACATCCCAGTGGACCGGCCCCTCTGCACGACCCTAATACCTTCTATCCACTCCCACTTACCACAATCTACATAGCTGCATTCCTCTCCCACTTGGAGTATTTACTACATACATACCACATTTGACATTAATTATCTCACTCATCTTTGCAGTGAGTCTGGCGTAGTACTGCTATGACCCCATTCTAAAGAAGGGGAAACTGAGCTTCGGGTCTTTACAACAAATTTCTGTAAGCAAGTAGCAGGGCAGGGATGTGAGAACCAACTTCTCTGGGCTCAGAGACCAAGCTCTTAAGCACTGGGATCCATCAAGCAGGTTCCCCCATGGAACCAAAGGGCGCTTGACTTTTACCACTCCCAAACCCAGGCACGGCTTGCCTACCCTGGGCCAGAGACGGTGGAAAATTACAGGAACCGTGACTCCCACCAGGGGCTGTAATCCTCCAGAACTCTGCAGTGGGTGGAAGGGAGGAAGCCTTGCCGGAGCCTCTGCCTGACTTCAAACAACCAGCTTCCCTTTCTTAGAACACCTGGGATGAGGAGGCGGACAAGCGTGAGGTGGGGATAAAAGCACCGTTTCTTCTTCCATTCCAGACATTCCCCCAGTGTTCCTTTACAGTATCCTGCCCTGAGCATAAGCCCAGGCAGCAGGGCAAAGCAACCATCACGGCAGTGGCAGCCAGTGCCGCCACCACACGTGCCATGTCCATTGCACCAGTGATGTGTACAGGTCCCCACGTGCTTTGTGCATCCCATCCTCGCTGCATCCCATCCGACGGTGCATTTCTCCCTTTCTATGGAGGAGGAAATTAAGGCCCAGAGCCTTAAACGGTCTATCCAAGAGCAAAGAAGCCTTAAGTGGGCAGTGTTGGGATTCTGGCTCAGTTCTGTCTGTCATTGCTTCTGGAGTGTATACAAATCAACCCCAGAGCTTATTAAGATGTAGATTCCTAGGGCCTGGAGGATGGCTCCATCAGTATCCTGTTTACCATGCAAGCATGAAGACCTACTTAAATGGTTCCCCGGCATCAAAGCCTGCCTGGGGAGGCAGAGACAATGAGGATCCCCGGAGCTCACTGGTCAGAAAATCCAGCTCAGTGAATTCCCGGGTCAATGAGAGACTGTCTCAAAAAATACAGTGGAGAGCAACTGAGGCAGCTACTCAATGTCAACCTTTGGCTTCCAGATTCTCACTCCTCGTGATTTTGGAGTGCAATCTGTGTCATCCTGAGCTCAGAGCAAGTCTTAGGTGGGACCCAAGTCTGTTCTCTAGGCGAGCTCTCAAAGCTCTCAGGTAATTTTTTATACAAACCAGCCACTTTAAAAAAAAAAAAAAAAAGCACTATGTACGGCAATGCTCTCCCAAACTGAGCCCCTCTGGAATGCCAGCATGTCACAAAAAATGACCAGACATAAGACAAAACAAATGGGAGGGGGTGTCTCACGGTTAAGTAATTTTAAGAAATACGACTTATTTTATGACTTTCTGGCAGATTTAGTGAGCATTACCAAACTGTATTTAACACAGCATTTCCCAAACTTGCTTAACCACAGAATCCTCCTCTACTGACAGCACCCATTAACATCTCACCAAACCCAGCAGGCGGGATGGAGTCTGGGGAACACTGATGTTACACTTCTCATCCCAGCACACACCGGCCTCTACTCACTTCTGCTAAGAATGCAATAAACGGAGTTCAAAGCTCTAATCCTGGCCTCACCCTCACTTGCTACGTGTGACCTTTAGGCCTCTCTGGGTTTGTTCCTCAGCCATAAATCAAAACAGCCAGCCCTGCGGCATGCCCACAGGGTCCTCACATGAGCATAATGGAGGCCCAGCTGCTGGGTAGGGCCTCAAGATGACTCTGGCTAAGGTGTTTGCTGTCGGGTCCAAGGGATTTGATCCCCAAGACCCACAGATAGGAGAAAAAGCCATTCCTGCGCATGTGCGGGTCTAGTCTCTTCCTCTCTCTCACATAAACGTAACAAATGCTGTTATTAATTGTACAGGGCTACGTATCTTTTAGCCTGTGACTATGGCCAATCAAGGCTTGCTAATATCCCTTTGATTTTGTTTTCCACTTTTCTTACATGAGATTAATCTCTCAAATTACTCTGAGATCAGGGCAACTCAGGACCCTTATGGGAGTTATTTTGTACAATGTAAAGTGAGGGGGCTGCTTTGAAAAATCCTACAAAGTAATATTACACTTTCTTTACTGTACAGCACATGTGCTACAAGAATCATATTGTTCTTCCTAATAACTAATAATAAGGGGTGGACTCTACTACTGGACCTATTTTATAAGAGGAAACTGGCTCAGAAAAACGACTCAGAAACTAATGTGGCCAAGACATGACTCTACTTTTGCCTCAACACTGCATTTAACCACCTCACCATTCTGTCACCTAGCAAAGAATTCCGACCACAAAAATCACACTGCTATGTTCCTGGCTGGTTGGAGGCAGGCTAGCAAGTGGGGAAGACGCATTTGCAGACAATCCAGGTTCTGACCTGGGTCCTGAGGCCTAACTACCTGGTGACCAGATAAACTCCGTGTCTACTTTGGGTTTCACTTTTCCTACGTGTGAAATGACGCTGAACTACAGTGAATGGTGTAAGCATCTCACTTCTGGCACCTCCTACCACTGATTGTCCTGATTATTCTGTCTCAGTACGTGCTGGGTGAGTCGGGAAACCTGTTTTTATCCCACGCCCTGAATGATACCGAGGGAACCACAGCTCTAAACGCCTTGTCAGCAGAGAGGACCCCGCCCCACCGGACACCAGAGGTATGTGCTCTGGTCTGGCCCAGCCCGGATCTATCCAGTCCAAAGCCCCCAAAGCCTGGTGTGCGCGACGTCAGAAGGGACGCGACACAACCTCTCGAGGGGGTCCTCGGTGACGTAAGATGAGCGCGACAGACCGGCCCTCTTTGTTTCTCGCTCACGCAAGACCTTGCTAAGGTGAACCTCTGCGTGAAAAGGGCGCAGATAAAGTGGAGAGAAAGAGCCGAGGATGAAGAACGGGCCTAGGCCGCTAGACAGAGCCCAGACATTGATGCAGGGGCCGCTACAACTCACCTGCCCGTACGGATAGCTGGCCATGGCGATTATGACGTCATCGACTGTGGAAGGCGGGGCTTCCTGGTCTAAGCCTCTCCTCGTTCAGTCTGGGAGGCGGGTTCTCTTATGATTGGACGGACAGACTGTCAATCTTACAGCGGACAGACTGTCAATCTTACAGCCCACAAACGGAAGTGACACTTGGGGCAGTGGGCGGGTACCTAGCAGACAGCGGAGGGCCTGGTCGGGGTGTCCGGAAGTGTTGGTGGCGGTAGGGGCGAGTTTGTGTTTGTGTTTTTGTGACCTGGAGCAGCCTTCGGGGCTGGCTAGATTAGGTTTTCTAGGGGGGAGACTGGATCGGTTGTTTCTGCGGTGGCCATATTATAACTTGGCAAATCGGACGCATGTTAGTTACGTCACTTTCTGTGATCACTTTATTTTTACGGCCAAGCGGTTGCCATGGCTACTGGGGACTAACCCCCTCCTGGAATGCAGGTACTATTTAGTACTTGAATGCTAAACAGGTCTTTGGACCTTGGAGAAAGATCAAGCTGCCAGAGTAGAAGAAAAATTAGGATGATTTGGAACGTCTTTCTTCATAAATGGGGAAACAGGTCCAGAAAGGCAGTGACATATTTGCCTAAATTCACAACAAAAATATTGCCTAGGATTACTGTCAATGGATAGCTAGGTTTCAGCAAGGAGGTCTTGTCCCCTTCGTAAATCAAATCTCAGCTACCAAGTGACCACCATGTACTTGTCTCTTGGGGTTTGGGTTCTACACTTGTTTATTTGATTAAATCCCCATGTGGCCGGGCATGGAGGCACATGCCTTTAGTCTCAGCACTGGGCAGGCAGAAGCATGTGTGTCTACATAGAGTTTAGGCCAGCCAAGGCTACGTAGCATTAAATGAGGCCCTGTCTCAAAAATCAACAAAAATTCTCAAGTGGAAAAGAATTGTGTCTGGTTTGCTTGTAATTGTAGCTCCAGTATCTACAGTGCCAACACTATACTTTTAAATACACAAATGAAAAAGAGTTATGAGCTGTTATCCAGCTAGGCTATCTTACCATCTAGCCAGGCATTTTCCAAGCCCCCAGTGCTGATCATGGTACTGACCGAAGGACCACCTGCAATTCACATTCCTCATCCGTATCTGCAAAGGAAGACAAATCCTTTCATTCTGAGGCTCTTAATCTGACCTGTACCCAGGCTGTGTCCACCTCTCTATGCTCTGTTTCCCACTTCAACACACTGTAGTTTTGAGTGTGTTGATCTTGTTTTCTTTTAAAAAATCAGTTTCTAGCTGTATGATCTTGAACAAGTCATCTTACTTCTCAGTCTCAATTTTCTCAAATGTCAGTTAAAACAATGTTAACTTGAAAGTGAATTTGTCATGGCTGCTCATGCTCAGGCTTAGGGCCACAGCGCTCATTCATAAGGACCAGTGGCTCTTTCACATCTAGTCTGCCAGTCCCATCCCCCACTTAACCTCCCTCATGGCCCCCAAGTCATCAGCCACACCTCCCAGTCTCCCTTTGCACCTAGTATGGCCGCTGTGTCACAGTCTAGCCCTGTATAAGAATCCTTGGATCATTTCCACAAAACTCATCCATTCTATCTCAGAAAATCTGCACAGTTGCTCAGGCCAAAAACCCAGGATCGAACGTGTCTTTTCCACACACTCCCCGACCTCCATTTTTTTTTTTTTTTTTTCAAAAATATATCACATCTGTTTTTTCTATGTTCCAACTATCACTGATCCAAGACCCCTCTGTAGTCTGGCCTACCCACAATGTCTTTTTATTTGTCTCCAACACTCCCTTCTCCACTGAGAAGCCGGAGGAGGCACCTTAAAATGTGAATTAGGCTGGGTGTTGGTGATGCACACCTTTAGTCCTAGCACTCAGGAGGCAGAGGCTGAGAAACTCTTGAGTTCAAGGCCAGCATAATCTACAGAGGGAGTTCCAGGACAGCCAGGGCTACTCTGAGAAACCCTGTCTCGAAGAACAAAACAGAAAAATTGAATTCAATATTGCCATTCTCTAAACTCCTCTGAGGGTTTCCCATCACTCTTATAATAAAATCTAAACTCACTCTTATGACTTGGTGGTCCTACAGGACCTAGATCCAGCCTGTGACACCAGCCTCACTGATGCCATTGCTGCCCTCCTCAGTTCACTCCGGCCATGCTGGCCTGGTCACCACCCCAGAACAAACAGGAGCTCATCCCATCTCCAGATCTTTGGATTTGCCCCTCTGTTCTTAGAGTCCTCTCTCCTTAACTTTTCATGGTTTTCTTTGTTGTCATTCTCATCCAGTTGAAATATGACATTGTGGGTAGGTGGCATCCTGGATACCACATCTGAGATACCTTGTCTCCCAAGCACATCCCAGTCATCAGACATACCATGGTATCTAAGTTTGTCATAAGACAAGCTATATTAACTTGTCCCCTTTTAGGATTTACATGTATATTGCAGGACTATCCTGTCCTCTTGTAAAGGTTTATTTATAGTTATATGTATTTGTGTGTATCTGTGTGTGGGTATGTGCATGTGACTGCAGGTGCCTGTGGGGGCCAGAAGAGGGTGCCAGTCCTGGCAGTTGTGAGCACCGATCTGGGTACTGGGAACTGAACTTGGGTCCTCTGGAAAAGCAGCAGACTCTCTTAACTGCTGAGCCATCTCTCTAGCCCTTCTGTTTGCACTCACCATATAGAACAGATCTCGGCATGCGTCCAGTAGGTATTAATGGTTGTTATTATCATCAACATGCATTGAATGCTTACTAACTATGAGATATTGTGCTAAGTCCTGCAATATTGTTCAACTACCAGAACAGTCTTTTGAGATAAATGTCATTACCTATTTGTAATGGAGGACTAGAGAAGTTAAATGACTTCCCTAATATAAAAAAGATAAATGGTGAGCTGGGACATGGTCTTGCATGCCTGTACTCCCAGTATATGGGAGGCTGAGGCTGGAGGATCACTAGTTTGAGGCGAACCTGGGCTACATAGCAAGATCTTATCTCAAAAAAAGGGGCGGGGAAATATCTTGGAGAGATGGTTCACTAGTTAACAGCACTTGCTCTTGCAGAAGACCCTGATTTTGTTGCCAGCACCCCCATGATGGCTCTCGACCATCCATACCTTCAGTTCCTGGGGAATCAGTTGGTGTCTTCTGACCTCCAAGGGCACCGTGCACACATGTGATGCATTTGCATATAAGCAAAACAACCATACACATAAATAAATCTAAAAACATTAATGGAGAAGCCAGGATTCCAGGCCAAATTCAGAATATTTTAACAACTCAGTGCTGTTGTTAATATGTCATGTTGAGTTCTAGTCCAGGAATCTGACTTGGGTGTGGTGGACTCAATAAACCATGCCTGGCCACTCACTTCAAAAGACAAAACAAAAAAAAAAAAGCGGTAAACCCAGGAAAGAAGTTGATTCCACCCAGCCATCGTGGCCAGGAACAGCAACCAGCATCCTCGGACCTGTCTTGGAGGTGCTAACAAGCGCTCTGAGCTTATGTAAGGAACAGACCAAAGCTGGGGGCAAGGGATGCATGGCCAAGCGGGCTTGCTCCAGCTGTGGTTGGGTAATCATTACCTCAGGGTGGGTTCAGAACCTTTGGGGTAGTATCAAAGTTGCTGCTGCTCAGGGCACACAATGTTTATCAATTGGACCTGTAATTCCTGGAATCCAGGGTAACTGCAAGAAAGCATGACTCGGGACAAGTCAGGAGGACAAGGTGGAGTCAGATCAGTAGTTGGCCCCTTCCAGCTTTAGGTAAATGATTAGGGATTTCTTGGCGCTGCTCTTGTGGTCTGGAACAGGACATTGTAAGGGCCTGATACCAGCCAGGCGGTGGTGGTGCACACCTTTAATCTCAGCATTTGGGAGGCAGAGGCATGTGGAACTCTGAATTGGAGGCCAACCTGGTCTACAGAGCTACTTCCAGAATAGCCAATGCTACACAAAGAAACCCTGTCTCAAAAACAAACAATAAATAAACAGCCTCATCTCCAGCACTTGGGAAAATGAGGTAAAAGGGTGATTTGGGTTTTTCCCCCATTTAGGGGTTCATGTATCCCACGCTGGCTTAGAGCTTTCTATGTCATCAAGACTGACCTTGAATTCCTGATTTTCCTGCCTCCACTTTCCAAGTGCTAAAGGTGTGTAACACTCTGCTCCAGGAAGATCGCAAGTTTGAGGGCATCCTGGAATGCATAATGAGACTCTGTCTAAAAACAAAAACCAAAAAGCAGGCAGTTGGCAGTCTACTGGAGAACTGGAAATTGGAAATTCACCCTAGTCCTTGGATGAGGTAGCTTCAAGTTAGGGACATTTTCCCAAGAGCACATTTCCAGACCAAGACTCAGAGACCAGGTTAGGGAGCTTCTAAGGAAACCAGAGCTCAAGGGAAGGGCAGTGCACTTTGCATGAAGAGGTGGCTCAGCAGTGAAGAGCACTTGCTGCTCTTCCAGAGGAGCTGGGCTCAGTTCCCGACATCCACCGTAGCTCACCCCTGTCCATGAGTCCAGTTTGACCGGATGCAGTGCCCTCTTCTGGCCTCCGCAAGCACTGCATCCATGTGGCGCACAGGCGTGCAGGCAAAACACCCAGAGGAGTAAAATAAAAAATGAGCTTGGGGTGGGGCAGGGCAAAACAGACACGCTATGGAGAGAACTGATCACTCCCAAGTCCTTGTCTAAAGGTGAGTGCTCCAGAATGAGGTGAGCTGTAGATGCAGACCGTGTGTTCTGACTCTTCTGGGAGAACCGAGGGAGAAACAGCCACTTTCTGTTGCAGTTACTTTAACTGCAATCGGTTAAAGCCGTTGTTCACAGTCCGTGCTGCCTGAAGCCCAGGATGGGGCTTTGACAGGTTAGGTAGCTCCCGCATCTGTGGCTGTGACTCTACCTCCTAGCTTCTGTTAGTTCGGGCTGATTGGAATAGTTGCTGTCCTTGGTTTACCCTTTAAAGTTCCAAGGAACTCTTCTGGTTCATTTTGAAGCATCACAAGCAGAAGACTGCTGACCGAAATGTCCTCATTTGATGGGTTTAAGCTGCCTCCTGGAGTGTGTGGCTCCTCCCCCAATCCCCTAACTCCTTGCCTTCACCGGCAATGATTGCGGCATCTC